CCCCAAAACCCCAAAACCCCAAAACCCCAAAACCCCTAATCCCAATTAAATATTTGACAAGTCAAAAATGGAACAAAAACCCTACGCAAAAGATTCCGCTGGAAAAGATGAGGAACAAACCTCCAAGCAGGCACGCACTTTAGAGGAATTTAAATAAGATGCAGGAGGAGTTCTCCATCCAAGAGGCTCTCGACCAGTTCGTCCTCAAGAAAGAGCTCTTTATCCTCAAAAAGGAAGGAGATGTCTTCAATGATTATGATGTTGAGGATAAGGTCCTTGGGGAAGGAACCTATGGCGTGGTTTTTAAGGCGACAGATAAAACTACAGGGGAAGAGGTTGCTATAAAGAGAATCCCAAGAGAAAAGATAAGAAATTATGTCAGGTTTCTCAACGAAATAGCAGCTCTTAAGACATTAGATCATCCTAATGTGATAAAGTTGTTCGAAATCTTTGAGGACGAGGATGATGTTTACCTAGTGCAGGAATTATGTTCAGGTGGAGAGCTGTTTGATTACATTGTAAACCAAGAGTTCTTGAGCGAAGCTCAAGCAGCTGTCATTTTCAAGCAGATCTTGCACTCCATTGGTTACTGTCATAAGAATGCAATCTGCCATCGTGATCTAAAACCAGAAAACTTTATATTCAAGTCCAAAGGAGACGGGTCAAACTTGAAATTGATTGATTTCGGGTTATCGACTTCCTACTTCAAGCATGTTGGATATGGACACGGGATATATACCAGAATGTCTACTAGAGCTGGAACTGCTTTCTTCATGGCTCCGGAAGTTCTTGAATCAGATTATACGAACGCCTGCGATATGTGGTCATGAGGTGTTATTCTGTACATCATGCTGTGAGGATACCCTCCCTTTGACGGAGATACTGAAGAAGAAATTTTGCTCAATGTTCAAGCAGGGGAATTTGATTTTGATGATGAAGTCTGGGACAAAGTATCAAAAGAGGCCAAAGACCTCATTTGCAAGCTATTGGTCGCAGAAGATGACAGGCTTTCACCCAAAGAGGCCCTGGAACATCCCTGGTTCAGCCTCACCCACATCAGTGAGAAAAGTGAAGGCCTCGGAGAGAATCATATCAAGAGACTCAAGAAATTCCAAAAAGCCAAAAGCTTCAAAAAGGCTGTACTAATATTCATCGCTTCAAGAGTAGCAGACGAAGAGATCCAAAAAGAGATTGAAATCTTTAGAAAACTTGACAAGAACAAGGATGGATACATCACTCTCCTTGAATTAAAGGAATCCATGAAGAAGCATCACACTGAGGAAGAAGTCGAAGAGATTATGAAGAGCTGTGACACTGACAAGAATGGGGCCATCAACTATACAGAGTTCATAGCTGCTACACTTGACAACATCATCATTGGTAGTGCCAAAAGGATCGAAAAGGCATTTAAGATCTTTGATAAGGATGGTGACGGCAGAATCAATGCTAAAGAGCTCGAAGATGTCCTCTCAGGTGAAGGTAAGTATCTCTATTATAACCATATCTTTTGTGAATTTCAAGTCAATCCCACTAACCCTTTTATTCTAGGCGTCAAAGTTGCAGATAAAGAAATATTCAAGGACATTCTCAAGGAATGAGATCTCAACGATGATGGAGAAGTTGACTTTGAAGAATTCCAGAAATGTATGCTTCAGAACTCTTAGTCATCCATTATGAAGTTGTTCAGTGAAAATCTTACAGAATGGGGTTTTGGGGTTTTGGGGTTTTGGGGTTTTGGGG